AGCCACACGTTCTGATGTTATAGAGTCCTTATTTTTGATTATAGTAAATCAACCTTTGACTGTGTGCTCATCCACACCAATACAAGAGAAAATACACAACAAACACAGAAGATTGTTCATTTTAATGAGGAAAAAAAAATCTGCTGCTGTTTTTTTAATCTCTTTGGGAATAAAGAAAGTTTTTTTCCCTCAAGTTTAAATGTATTATTCTGTGCAGCGGATATATTGTCATACTTTTTTTTCTCTTGCTCCGCCGTTTGTCGTTATCTAATTTGAAATGTACTAATTCCTTATTCTTGCGGAGGGAGGACAGCCCACTGACTTGAACAGCTGCTTCATGACCCAAAAAACTGTCAGTCTTTCCCTGGAATAAATTGTGGAATATACCAAGTAAGGGTACAGAGGGGGAGAGACAAGGACGTGTATTTGTTCAAAAGCGTATGCTGTTGACAAAAGCTGACACATTTCAAGGAAAATCTATAATGTAAATGAAAAACTGCCCTAAAATGCAATTAAATGTCCTGTTTAAGTTGAGTTAAAGGAGAAAATGAGAGATTAGCTTGAGGTTGAGCTCCCCTGCGCTTGGGCGCCATGTTTCTAGAGGGCCCATAGTAGAATCAATTCAGCGAGAGGGGAGCTTGAAACTGTCCACTCATGCTTTCCTCTGAGTCTGAGAGAGAAACACAGTTGAAGGGAAGGCACAGAGCAGTCGGCTGCACTACATGCTCACAACAGGCAGGCTCCCATCACCAGCCACACAACAACCACATAAAACCAAGATATGGCTTCAACAAACAAAGTGTAACCACGTCAGGACTATTCAATGTCACCTCAGGGGTCGTTTAGGAAATGTGTGCTTATATTAGATGCTGTTTGAAAGTTTTGTGAAAACCATAAACGCGGTTTCCACTCATCTTTGGCACAATTTCTCACAAAAATTATATTTCCCTCCCTCTAATTGTTTGTCAGCCTTCAGTGATCAGCAATACCTGCACAAGTGTGTACCCACTTCATAAAAGGTCAAAAATACCTACAGCTCAGAGTTTTCAATGAATGTCTGTGCTCTGTGTCAAACTCATACTTCGCTCATGCAGTCTTGTCAATCTTATCCACTCTGCATCTGATAGCTGCGGCTGGAGGTACCTTGCTCAAGGGCATCTGTTTGCAAAAGAGTGGGTGAGGACATCCATGCCTGCAGCGTGAGAGCAGTAGTAATGTCACTGTTGAAGTTTCTTCTGGGCATCAGCATGAATCACACAAAACTAAATGCAAAACACGCCAATTTAAACTTGCACAAAAGCATGCAAAAAGTGAAGCAACATTTAGGGGCAGATCCTCTCACCACTGTGAAGACATATTTGTTCGCTTACAGATTATTTCTGTTTTTGCTTTATTGTCAAGCTAGACCAACAATGACATTTCATGCAAAAATGACCAAATTGTTGTTGTAATGTTGTGAAATTTGAAACAATACAACAAATGTAACTGCTCAATGAATGTGCTAAATAAAATAAATAAATATGCAGCTTTCACTTTCAATTTTTTATTTAGAAATGGCAAAAAAACTATTCAATCCAACCTGGCTCTAAGAGAAAAAGTAATTACTCCCCCCTCAAGTTAAATCTGCTGTGAATCACATTCATTGGAAAGCTGAGTTCAGTTTCACTAACCACACCCAGGTCTGAAAACTCAGACCTGAAAAACTAAAATCACTTGAACAGAACCTGTTGGACAGCATGAAGAATGCTAAAAGATCTTAAAAAGCAACATATCAGGCTTTGTGTTAAAAGAAATTCAAGAACTAAAGAACATCTATAGCACTGTAAGCTCAGTTAAGGTAAAGTCAGAGGTCATGATTCAACAATCACAAAGATGGGAGACAGGTGAACATGGTGGTGGTAGTATGTTGGTCAGGGGCTGCTTTTCTCAAACCAGTGGAACCATGATTGTTACTCTCTACCAGGGATTCCTGACCTGTGACCTTAATTTGGATTATTGATGCCGGAAATATGACTGAATCAATACAACGGTGTAAACTTGGGCCAAAATCTCTCCACGGTGAATCGAGAGACTCAGTACCAGTAATGACAAAGGCCTCCACAGCCTTAATAACCAGTTATTAAGTTTGGATTTCAATTACTTTTTCACATGTAGTCAGATTGGTTTCGGTCTCCGCTTCCTCAATGAATAAAATCACAATTTAAAAACTGCATTTTGTACTTGGTCAGATTATCTTTGTCTGATAATAAAACGTGTCTGACAAAAATGCAGAAACACAGCTCTGCATCAGGGTGAAGCACCTGCTGCAGCAGTCTCCATCTGTTTATACATCTAAATGTTGTTCTGTGTCTTCATACAGGCGTGCTCACATGCATCTGGAGCACTTTTAATCCGCGTTGTTGCATGCCTCGTTGGGGCGTGTTTCCACCGCCGCCAATGTCACCTTCATGAGTGGCTCCATTGCAAGAGCATCCTTCAGAATGAAACAGATTAGCTTTGCAGGCAGGGATGTTGATGAGGTCATCACTTCCCAAGGTCACACCTACATGTGTGTAGGGCCCAGTGGCTTTAAAGCCCCCCCTTCAGGCCCTGTGGATCCTCGATTTGACCTCCTGCCTGCGTGCGGCTCTAAATAAGGCCGAATAAGCCCCATCCTTCTGAGTGAGCCCTACTGTGGTTCTTAGCGCTGGAACAAGCTGCCTCTTCACGTTTTGTCTTTGAAAAACATACTCTACTCAGAGCAAGTGGAAGTTCCGGCTTACTTTTTGATCTCATGATCTTAGCATGCATATTTATGTGCAAGTAGTTGATTTCACGCAGTCAAAACCTCAGCTCAATATCCAGTTGATAATCTAGACTGATACAGGTCTTATTTGATACCAACAAAGCAGCTTGTTTTTTTTTTTGCATTTCTTGTAAAACGTCAGCCTCTTTCTGGTCATTGTGTTTCTCAGAATGAGATTCCGACTCCGTCAGCTCCTCTTGGGGATGTGCAAACTGTTCGATGTCAGTGCAGCGAGCATGCAGAAGATGTACAACAGCTACATCTGCATGTGTGCTAATTTCCCTCCACTGATTCTCCTCAGAAGACAACTCTGCCCGCCGTACAATGCTACCAATCTCGTTTCTTCCCTCCCCTCCCCTCGTGAGACAATGAACACATTGAGGCAAATCTGTTTCCACAGCCTGTGAATAAGAGACGGCCAGCTTTGTTTTGCACAAGGGCGCACACACGCATATGCAAGTGTGTCTGTGCACGACGGGCTAAAGATAAAGCATGTTTGTGCGCGGGCACATGTGTATTTGTGTAACCAAGTGCAAATTTGTATGAAATGCCTGCGTCATGCGTTCGCCATGTGAGTCACTTGCTCTTGATGAGTAAGAGCCCTCTACTTTCTGGTTCCGCTCACACTCTCTAGGGCCCGAACACACAACCAAAGGGATGCTGCTTCCTCCTCCTCCTCCTCAGCTCCAACTTGCTGTCCAACAGGTTGCTCTGTCAATATTTGAGACAGGCTAAAAAAATATATACAGACCGCGTAATCACACACCCTGTCCATTATCTCAGAAAAAGAGGTGAAATTTTCATTTGCTTCAGAACATTTCTCATCAGGAACAGCTCAGTCCTGGACTTTTTGTTTCAGAGGCCTACTGGGATAATTACAGGTGAGACACGGAGGAGATAGAGGCCAGCAGCGCAGAGGAAGAGGTAAACACACAAATGACGTCTGTGGTTGATGACTTGTGTTGGTTCTTGAGGACCACAAGAACAGAGGTTGATTAGCTCCAACTATTAGGAGTCAAAAACTAAGACAATCATGGACGACTAGCTTAAATGGAACAAAAAAAAGGTCACATTTAAGTCACATTTTAGGGAGCCTTCCATTGTGTCACAGTGTGAACCTTGCTTAATTGCAGTTTTTAGAATTATTTCGCCATCTAGTGGTAAAACAAAGGCAACAAAGCCAAACTAATCTTAAATAAAAATATTTAAAACTCTTATACACATTCATGTGATTACATTAGTTTAAGAAATACATGTGTGTGCATAGATAAAAGACTATATATACAGGAAACAGGTCCAATTATTACAATAGCAGCTTGAAATTACATCCACAATGTGAAGATATGAGGAAAATCACTCAGATGAAGTTGAAACTAGCACATTCAATGATGCTCAATATATTTTTACACATGTCTGAGCACCAAATAGACAGGAAACATTTGAAAATTACAAATATTACAAAATATAAGCATTTAAGTCTTCCACCAGGGATGTCTTAATATGCAAGTTTTCTATTGCCTAAATGAACTGAATAATTTAATTCAGTCATGTAGTTTGTGCGTGGTTGTGCTGAATGAAAAAATAATTTTTATATACATATATATAATATATATATCCATATATATATATATATATCCATATATACATATACATACATATATATACACACATATATAAACACACACACACACACACATATATATATATATATATACATACATACATACATACCTACATACATAATGTATATATACATATATATATATACATACATACATAATGTATATATACATATATACATATGTATATATACATATATACATATATACATATGTATATATACATATATACATATATATATATATATACATACATACATACATATATACCTACATACATACACATACATACATACACATACATATACATACATATACACATACATATATACATATACATACATACATATATACATATACATACATATATATATATATATACATACATACATACATGCATATATATACATACATATATACACACACACACACACACACATATATATATATATATATATATATATATATATGTGTATATGTATATGTATATGTATATACACACATATATATATATATATAAACAGACATGGGAATTATACTGTGCTCTTATTCCAAGAAGCGATATCCATGAAACATTTATGGAAAAGGGAGCGTCCTCCTGTTAGGGAATGTCCGATTTAATGCAAAAAAAAAGAAATTAATTGAGTTGCAACGAATGTCTTTTTCACACAAGACTTCAATCGATCTCTTCCTCCTATTTGGACATGTCCTCATCCTCTTCTTGTTCTGGCAGGCAGCTGGGACACGGCTCCATGGTGACGGTGACACCCATACCGCTGAATCCAACGGGCATGTCGGTGATGTACGTCCATTCATTTCTTTCAGGACAGTAGCACTCGACACTGGACAGAAAACCGTGCTGATTGTAACCTCCTAGAATAAAAACAGAGTAGGAACCATTAGGGAGCTGAACGACATCTACACGAGACCCTCTCATCATCCGTCAGAACTTTATCAACAGTGTCAGAACTGACCGAAGACAAAGATGCGCCCCGTGTGGACTGTGACTCCATGTGCACTGCGGCAGTGCTGCATGGAGGCTCTGGGCTCCCAAATGTTCTTCACAGTATTGTAACGCTCCACCGTGCACAGCTGGCTCCGCCCATCATAGCCTCCGATTGCGTACAGGTAAGAGTGCACGCACACAAGTCCTGCAAAAACAAACAGATGAGTGTTCTAGAGCAGTGGTTCCTAACCTGGGGGTCCCAACCCCCACAAGGGGGCGCCAAAGCCTCCCGGTGGGTCGCCAGGACCTCTCCACTTTAAAGCCGGGCGTACACTGTGCGACTTTTTCACTTTTTTGAGCCGATTTTCCAGTCGTGCGAGAAGCCACGACATCGGGGCGAGTTTTGCGCCGAGCGGTCGTGTAGTGAACAGGGGGTTACGAGAGGCGATTAACACCACGTGACCAGCCGCCGATCAGCAGTCGTGAGGTCGCAGGGACTTCTGGTGTGTTTAATATTTCGCTCGTCCCTCGTGAGGGTATCGCACTGTTGAAGCGGCGCTGCGAGCAGCTGCGAGCAGCTACGATCCAAAAAGTATCAGAACCGCTCACGGCGCATGCGCGCGTAATCCTGCATCAACGCTGGCCGGTCGCTCGCTATTTCCCTATTAACAGACGCTGTTCGTTTTTGTTTCTACACGTTTTTTTACTCACAAAGATTGTCAAGAAAGCGTGTTTGTCGTGTTCATGTCAAATTAAACTGATCACAAAACACAGATTCACTTTCTTTATTTCGTTTTCCTCATCCAACCCCCATAAATCACTGTGTGTCCTCCTGCAGCACTCCCGAAGGACAACAGGCAAGACAAAAAAAGTCTGACGTGTTGAGTAAAAACTGCTATTTTTAGCACATTTTTAGGGCCGACGTGTTGCTACCAGACGTACAGTGTGAGCAGTCAGGTCGCATGCGAGAACTGGGTCGTGCAGTGTGAGCACATGACTCGTGAGATCTGCTCTGCGAGGAAGTCGTACAGTTTGAGCTGAAGCTGAACGCTGCGAGTGAAAAAGTCGCACAGTGTACGCCCGGCTTTAGGGGTTAAAACTTCATTTATTACTTGTTTATAGCCTACATTTTGCTCACTTTTTTTTCATGAGTGAAAAGTTTACTGATATTAAGACAGGAAATAATTAGTACAGAAAGAGTAACACACTTTTAAGAACATTTTGCTCAGCTCACTGTTTTATTTTGAAGTGTCAAAAGTTCATTAAAGATAGGACTGGTTGATTAATCACAGCCTTTACAGTAAATAATCTAGTATAAACAGTAATATACACATTTAAGTACATTTTGCTCAGTGTATTTTTTATGTGTCAAACGTTTATTGAAAGGAATGATTGATTTATCAGTGTTTACAAGAAACAATGTGTTCAGAAAAGTAATACAAACTGTCAAGCACATTATGCTCTGTTTGGTTTTGTTAATGACTTTGTTCTGTACTGGAGCCTACTATTACTGTTATCTGTTAAATCAAAGCATATTAAAATGTGCTTGAACCATTTTATCATTTCTTAATAATGTTTGTACTGGAAGAGAGAATGGGAGGGGGTCGTCAAAAATTTTACTGGTAAAAAACGGGGTCCCTTGGGAAAAAGGTTGGGAACCACTGTTCTAGAGAAAGGATTCAGGGCTTTAAGTGACGTTTCTGCTGCAGTAAAACAATTTCTGAGGAGTTTTAATAAGATAACGGCTAGTTAGCAAGGCTGCAGCATTTTAAGAGATCTCCAATCTTAAAAATATCATGTTTCGTGCAAATGGAAAAACATTTCCACAGCACTATAGTTTTGTAAAAGGTAATATAAATTTAAAGGTTTGTAAATCAGAATTACTCTTTTTAGTTATTTAGGAAAGTGGAAAAGTTCATTTCTGTCCCTGCTTGGACATTTAGAAAGATTTAAATCTGCACAAAAGGCAGCTTTTGCATGAAAATAATTAGTTTTCTTTTCACATGAAGACGCTCACCCAGTCCGCTGCGTATGGTGCTCATGGGAGCTACTTGGTGCCACGTGTTGGTGTCATGCTGGTATTTCTCAGCGGTGTTCCAGCGGGTCTGTCCGTCATATCCCCCCACCACATACAGACACCCCCCGCTCACTGCCACACCAGCCCCCAGACGAGCCACCGACATGGGACAGACAAAAGACCAGCGATTGGACTCTGGATCCCACCTGCAGGACAAACACAAGTCACTCTCTGATGACTATTTCTAATATAATAACATCAATTAATGAAAGTTAATTAGCGTTTCTGTGCTGCAGACACTAAAGTGATGTGGAGAGGTGTGCTGGTGAGCAACAACCTTCTCAATCAACAAGAGCCAGTCACCTTTGAGTGGATTAGTCTAAGCCAACAACCACGCTGGGCAAATATTAACAAGCTTTATTTAAAGCCAGGGATGTTGTAACAGACAGACGAGCATGCTGTCCTGAACACCTCATCAGAGAACACTTCTGCACCATCTTCTCTAAAAAATCCTTAAAGAAAAGAAAAATATCCTGAAGATTTGTCTGGATAGTGTTACACTAATCTCACCACAGGAGAAAGAAATACCAAGCTTTTATCTACCAGCCTAAAATATTAAATACATGCACTGTTTAACACATCAGATTCAGTTTTCTGTAAAGTGGTTTTCGCCCCACTCACAGTACAGAAACCTCTCTCTTCAAGCAGCTCAAATCCTTCAGATCAGACCCCTCCCCGGTTGTCAAAGGTGTGCCACAAGGTTCTGTCTTGGGACCCCTTCTCTTCGTTACCTCCTTCAACTTGGTCATATCTTAACGCCCAGCTTTACTTTTGTTGTTGGTTTTATTGCTGTAAAGTGTCCTTGTGTTCCTTGAAAGGTGCTTTTAAATAAAGAGAATTACTATTATTGTCATCATCATTATTGTTATTACTATTATTATTAATAATAATATTATTATGGTTATTATCATTTTCACATTTGTTTTTAGTTTCACCTGCAAATTAAAACCTTATGATTCAATCTGTGGGGAAAAAGCTCTTTCGTTCTGTTTCAGGAAGTGGAAGCGAGCAGGAGGGGTGGACAGTAGAACATGACACAAATGGGAAATGGCCTGTATTTTAAATAGCACCTTCTAGAGTCCTGGAACCCCTAAGACACTTTACAACACAGTCAGTCAGTCAGTCAGTCAGTCTCCCATTCACACACACACACACACACACACACACACACACACACACACACACACACACACACACATTCACACTCTGGTGGTGATGAGTTGCATTGTAGCCACAGCTGTCCTGGGGCGCACTGACAGAGGCGAGTCTGCCGTACACGGGTGCCGCTGGTCCCTCTGACCACCACCAGCAGGCAAGATGGGTTGAGTGTCTTGCCCAAGGACACAACGACAGTGACAAACTGAGCGGGGCTCGAACCTGCAAACTTCCGATTACGGGGTGAGCACTTAACTCCTGTGCCACCGTTGCCCAAGTGCTATTTTCTGATATTTTGACATCTCATCTCTGATTGGCTAACAGCAAGGCAACTCTTTATTTTTTTTTCATATTTCAAAAATAACAAGGACCTCCTGCATGATGCTCGCAATTGTTTAAAGTTTTTTTTTTCTGCCAACAAAAACTATTTTATTGTTTGAAACTTATCTGATGTTTCAGTTTGCACAGTAACTTTAGCTTTTACCATTTTCTAACTTTTAATTAGGAGACTATCAGCAGGTGATTCTGCTGTGATTTGCATGTTTTTGAACGGTGCAAAAAAAATAAATAAAAAAAATAAAAAATCCTAATTTTATAGATAAAACCAAAATTAAGGTCACATTTAATGCAGGTTTTCATTTAATTGTCATTTTTTGATAAACATTTTGTTAGTAAATGATCAAAATTAAACCATGTCAACAACGAAAAGTAGGATATAAAAGCATTCCCATCAAGATTCCTGGGATTCCTGTCCCAACATGTTTTGAAAGAGTGCATGCAGTTTGATGAGCCTGCTAATGCGGCTAACGCCTTTACTGGCGGGTATTTGTGTAATCCCTCTCAACCTCCCTCAGGCGTATTTAAGTTTTCAAACAGAAAAAAAGATGGCTGCATTAATCCAGGTAAATAAAACTTTAGCTGTCTCACCTCTCCACCGTGTTGTGATGCACGGAGTCCTGAGAGCCACCGACAGCGTAGATGCAGCCGTCCACCACGCCCACTCCCACCCGGTTCCTGGGGGTGTTGAGGGAAGCCCGCTGGCTCCACTGGTTGGTCATGGGGTTGTAGCAGCACAGAGAGCTGGAATCAGTGTTACTTTGTAACGACAGATTCCTGCCTCCCACCTGCAATTACGCACAAACACTAAAATCAGCTGACTCAGGACGAAGTGGACTAACAAAATAAAAGAATTTCTATTCCTTAGCTGGTATGAAATTTCTGAATCAACCTACAGTGTAGATGAGTCCGAACAGCGTACAGGCTCCGAGACCGCTGCATGGCGTTCCCATGCTGGCTAGTTTTAGCCAAACACTCCTTTTGGGATCAAATGCCTGCATTGTGGACAGGGAATGCTGCCTGTATCTGATCAGAAAAAAAAAGGCTCAAATGAATTTGAGGTACAGCCTGAAATTTTGTCTTGCAGGTGCGGAAATGTGACTTCAAACCTCACATATAATGTGGAAAATAAACAGCTTTAGGGAGAAAAAAACATGTCGGCACCCAATGTAACTATTCTTTAAACAGCTTCAACCCAGACATATATTTTTTTCTGTGCTTTATTCCTTTTGCCTGATTTTTTCTTACATTTGAAGGTGAAAATTTTGACCCAAATATATCATAATTAGCACTGTCAAGAAATTGCACACACGCGCGCGCGCACACACACATAGCCATCTACCCAGTCTCTGAATAGAGAATAAAAACGAGGACCTGGATGAAAACATGATTTCTAAACTCACCGCTCCTCTACTATCACGGAAGCCCACGTGCAGAAACATTAACTTTTAGATTATAGACTAAACACAATTAAAAACACATCAGACTGAATATGACTGCAATTACTGAATTACTTAACCAAATAATTTGACACCCCTAATGATAATATTAACTCCGTTTGCTTTTGACCTTTGAGAGAACATCTTGTCTGTTTAGGAAAGCTGTTTGGCTGCATGAATTCATTTACTTTTCATATTAAATTAAACAGTAAAACTTAAAACTTGTCATTTCATTTGTCATAAATCCTAATAAAGCATTATTAATTGCACTGATTAAAGCTGCTGATAAACTGTGTTTTAAAAAAATACATATTTTGATAAAGTTTCGTAATTATTGATTTTTCTAATTTTGAGGCTGCATCGCCCCTTTTGATTGACTGAATGTTCAAAATAAGAATCCGCACACCTCAATCTACGATGTAGGAGTTTATTGGTTAAGCTTTCGGTCAGAGACCTGATGAAGGTCATCACAATTCCTGATGAAGGTCATCGCAGATTGAAGTGTGCGGATTCTTTTTTTGTTTATTCCACTTTTTGATCCAGCACCTTTCCCAGACAAGCGGTGACTCCTTCTAATGTGAGTGACTGAATGTTAAAATACTGATTCGATTTTGCATCATTATTAATTCTGTTCAATGCTGACCTGTTATAATTTAAACAAATCCTACCTAAAACATTGGTCTACCAACTGAGAAAGGGAACCATTTGAGTCAAGCTGTGTTTTCCAGCAGCTAGTGTGTTAGTGACACATTGCTTGGTGTGTGTGTGTGTGTGTGTGTGTGTGCGTGCGTGCGTGCATGCGTGTGTCTGTGTCTGCTCTGTCTTCTCGATCCCCAGTGAGTCGTGGAGGATGGCTGCTTATACTGAGCCAGGATTCTCTGGAGGTTTCTTCCTGTTAAAAGGGAGTTTTCCTCTCCACTGTCACTATATGCTTACTTAGTATAAGGATTGCTGTATAGTCACTGACACTAGTCAGTGACTCGATGCAATTTGCTGGGTTCCTTATATAGGAAACATTATTTCTGATTGGCTTAATGAACTGACCGGAATTGGAATGTTTATTATGTGAAGTGCCTTGAGACGACTCTTGTCGTGATTTGGCGCTATATAAATAAACTTGAATTGAATTGAATAGTGGTGTTAAACTTTAAACTGTGACATATTTACAGCAGCTGAGGTGCTTTTATATGACTTACAAGTAAAAAAAACAGGGGACAGTGCAGGAGAAAAATGCATAAGTAGAACGAAACCCAAATGTTAAAACATTTATTAAATAAATGTAAAATTTACTCCTGAAAGCACCAGTGTAGTGTGTGACCAGCCACTGGGTGGCAGACTGGGTCACTTTCTTGTCCGTCTGACTAAACCCATCTGACTGACCTTAATAGTTTGCTGGGATCTACCTAACAACTCAAACGTTTATCCATTGCTAAGGCAACAGGAGTTTTGTACCCGCCAGCCACGTAGATGAGTTGGGCTCCTCGGATTGGTGGAGGAGGAAGTTTCATCAGAGTCATTTCCTGGAAGATTTTGGACAAGAAGTCCTTACAGGAATTGGCCTGGAGTTAAAGAAAAGGAGGAAGAGTTGTGAAGAGTTCTTCTGTCAACCATTCAAGCAGGAATCAGACGGGGTTTACCTTGCTGAGGATGGGGCAGGACAGAAGCTGATTCTTTAGAAATTTCGGAGGCAGCGCGTAAATATGAACGGCATTCAGGAGGGCGTGTAGATACTGGGCTCGGCTCTCCATGTCGGAGTGGACCCAGTCCGTGCAGGCCTTATACACCTGATCACCAGGTCAGTTTTTATCACTCAGTCGGGGTTTACTGCAGGACAATGTTATTTATGATGATTGCTCATACCTCAGACTCACAGAGCACCTTGATGCTGTCCTGACTGATGAGCTCCAGCAGCTGGCAGTGAGACAAGCTAAAGAACTCGTCCACTTTGGTCACCTGAAGAGATGAAAGATACAGAAAGGTTGCAGCATGCAGATTCTTAAGCATGAAATCTAGCTAGATTGAAATGTAATTTCATGTTTTATCATTTGAATGAATAAAAACATATCATCTATCCAAATCTGTTAAAAATGCTCTGCGGGATCTTCGTAAACTAACTTTTTTAGCTGTGTGGTCTTTTTAAGGTTGTAATTTGGTGGGAAAATATTTTCAGTTGTTTGTGTTTGTAATGTGAGATGCTGCAGCAAACACAGAATGACTTGACTCAGAACCTAAAGAGAGCCAAGTGTTGCACATTGAAATTGTGGCATCCTTGTGCACCTCACCTCACTGAAGTGTGAGTTGATGTATGTTCGGCACGTCTTGTGCAGTTCTGAGCATCCGATTTCCTCCGCGAAGCGGGCGATGCCGATGACGTTAGCTGGCTCCAGGTGCTTGGTGAGAAAATCACAACAAGCTTTGGCCACATCCTCCATCTGAAATCTTGCACGGTGGGAAAAGAAACAGCGTCGTGACAAATGAAGACTCTGAACTTCCACCTGTTTTCAATGACTCCTGATTTTCCTCCCCTGCTGTTTAAACACGCTCACCTCATGGCAGCCAAAAGAAGATGCAACACACACTTCTCTCCCACGGTGATGCGGGCGGTGTAGGCGAAGTCGATCAGTCTTCCCACCACCTCGGGGCATACGTCACGCAGAGTGACCTCAGAGGCGCTGCACTCTTTGAAGCCCCTGGTGAACATGGCTCTGAAATAGGCGCTACATGAGGCCAGCACCACTTTGTGAACCTGAAAACACACACACACACACACACACACACACACACACACACACACACACACACACACACACACACACACACACACACACACACACACACACACACACACACACACACACACACACACACACACACACACACACACACACACACACACACACACAAAGGACAGTCAAAAAGATCTTGGCTTTGGCAACGTGGGGCATATAGCAAGTTTTAAATGATCAATCGATACATCAAAACAATATTTTAATGATGAAATATTAAATAAAACTTTGCATTTAATAGTAATCTTGTACAAGCTCATCTTATTTTTTACATATTTTAATTTTATGTGGCAAAAACTAGACCAAATTATTTAAATAATAGTTTATCAGAAACAAAACTACCCAATTTTATATTCATTAGATCATTTCATCGAGTTAACAGCATAAAACATAACCCTAAACCTACAAGAAACCAATTTATTTTACATTTAGGTACTCTCTGGACCACATCATCTGCAAAAAGCAGAGACCCGATCTTCAGGCCACCAAAATGGATGCCCTCAACACCCTGGAAGCACCTAGAAATCCTGTCCATAAAAGTCATGAACAGAATCGCTGACAAAGGGCTGCCTTGGCGGAGTCCAACTCTCACTGGGAACGAGCCCGGCAATGCCGACCAAGCTCTGACATCGGTCATATAGGGATCTAACAGCCCATATCAGAGGGCCCCCTCCGTGGTCGAATGCCTTCTCCAAATCCACAAAACACATGTAGATTGGTTGGGCAAACTCCCACGCACCCTCCAGGACAGGACCTTCCTAAGGGTATAGAGCTGGTCCAGTGTTCCACGACCAGGACGAAAACCACATTGCTCCTGAATCTGAGGCTTGACAATCCAACGGTCCCTCCTCTCTAGAACCTCTGAATAGACCTTACCAGGGAGGCTCAGAAGTGTGATCCCCCCGTAGTTGGAACACACCCTAAAGTCCCCCTTTTTAAATGGGGCACCACCACTCAAGTCTTCCAATCCAGTGGAACTGCCCCCGATGTCCAGGAAATATTGCAGAATCGCATCAGCTAACACAACCCTACGGCATCCAGAGCCTTAAGGAACTCCAAACGGATCTCATCCATCTCTGGAGCCTTGCCACTGAGGAGCTTTTTGACAACCTCAGTGACCTCAGTCCCAGAGATTGGAGAGTCCAACCCAAAGTCCCCGGACTCTGCATCCTCACTGGAAGATGTGCCAATAGGATTGAGGAAGTACTACTCCACCCACCGATCCACAATGTCTCGAGTCGAGGTCAGCAGTATAACGTCCTCACTGTAAACAGTGTTGGTGGACCAGAATCTCCTGGAAGCCATGCGGAAGTCTTGCTCCATGGTCTCACTAAACTCCTATGCCAGGGTTTTTGTCTCAGCAACCACCTGAGCCGCTGTCCGCTTGGACTGCAGATACCTATCAGCTGCCTCTAGAGTCCCACAGGCCAAAAAGACCTGATAGGACTCTTTCTTCAGCTTGACAGCATTTCTAACTCAGGGGTTGCCACTACGCTGTTGGCTACCACCCATCACACACTGCACCCGACCCCTTTGGCCCCACCCTCAAGTGGTGAGCCAATGGGAAGGGGGACCCACATTTCCTCTTCAGGCTGTGCCCAGCCGGGCTCCATGTGTGAAAGCCCGGCCACCAGGGGTTCGCCAACATGCCCCACCTCCAGGCCCGGCTCCAGGGGAGCCCCCGTGACCCACGTCTAGGTGAGGGAACACGGTTTCCATGTATATTTTTCTTCATAAAGGGTCTTTGGGCTGCTCTTTGACTGATCCCTCGCCTAGGACCTATTTGCCATGGGTGACCCTACCAGAGGCATAAAGCCTCAGGCAACTTAGCTCCTAGGATCATTGGGACAAAAAAGCAAAATAATGAAGATTGCATTTGAAATAAAAAAAAATCCAGCTCATGCATTACTGCAATAATGGTGTGCAACCTTTGTTTAGAAAGCATTAAAAGGCTAAAATTAAGGCTGTTACTACTTCTGAAGCTGACAACCAACAACAAGAGGACAGAAATTAGTATTTTATACTATTTTGGTGCAAAAAATATATTTTACTGAGAAAACGAGGAGCTGCGGCCGTATGTCTTGGACACTCGGATAAAGAGAGGGGCGGAGCTGTCAACTGACCACTACCTGGTGGTGAGTTGGCTCAGAGGGTGGGGGAGGATGCCGGTCAGACCAGGCAGGCCAAAACGTATTGTGAGGGTCTACTGGGAACGTCTGGCAGAGTCTTGTGTCAGAAGGAGCTTCAATTCCCACCTCCGACAGAACTTCCAAAATGTTCCGGGGGAGGCGGGGGACATTGAGTCTGAATGGACCTTGTTCCGTGCCTCCATTGTTGAGGCGGCTGACCGGAGCTGTGGTCACAGGATCGTCGGTGCCTATCGTGGTGGCATCCCCAAAACCTGCTGGTGGACACTGGCGGTTAGGGATGCTGTCAAGCTGAAGAAAGAGTCCCATCAGGTCTTTTTGGCCTGTGGGACTCCAGAGGCAGCTGACGGGTACCGACAGTCCAAGCGGAATGTGGCCCGGGTGGTCACCGAGGCAAAAACCAGGGCATGGGAGGAGTTTGGTGAGATCATGGAGCAAGACTTCCATATGGCTTCAAGGAGATTCTGGTCCACCATCCGGCGCCTCAGGGGGAGAACGCAGTGTGCTACCAACACTATTTATAGTGGGGACTGTGTGCTGCTGACCTCCACTTGGGACGTTGTTGATCGGTGGGCAGAATACTTCGAAGACCTCCTCCAACCCACCGACACGTCTTCCAGTGAGGAAGCAGAGTCTGGGGACTTTGGGTTGGGCTCTCAAATCTCTGGTGCTGAGGTCACTGAGGTGGTTAAAAAGCTCCTCTGTGGCAAGGCTCCAGGGGTGGATGAGATCCGCCCGGAGTTCCTTAAGGCTCTGGATGTTGTGGGGCTGTGTTGGCTGATGCAGCTCTGCAATATCACGTGGACATCGGGGACAGTCCCACTGGACTGGCAGACCGGGGTGGTGGTCCCCTTATTTAAAAAGGGGGACCGCAGGGTGTGTTCCAACTACAGGGGGGATCACACTCCTGAGCCTTCCTGGTAAAGTCTATTCAGGGGTTCTGGAGAGGAGAGTCCGTTGGATTGTTGAACCTCAGATTCAGGAGGAGCAATGTGGTTTTTGTCCTCGCCATGGAACACTGGACCAGCTCTATACCCTTAGGGGAATCCTGGAGGGTGCGTGGGAATTTGCCCAACCAATCTACACATGCTTTGTGGATTTGGAGAAGGCATTTGACCGCGTCCCTCGGGGGGCCCTGTGGGGGGGTACTCTGGGAGTATGGGGTACCAGGTCCTCTGATACGGGCTGTTAGGTTCCTGTGTGACCGGTGTCAAGAGGTTGGTCTGCATTGCCAGCAGGAAATCCGGCTTGTTCCCAGTGAGAGTTGGACTCTGCCAAGCCTGCCCTTTGTCACCGATTCTGTTTATAACCTTTATGGGCAGGATTTCTAGGTGCAGCCAAGGTGTGGAGGGCATCCGTTTTGGTGGCCTGAGGATCAGGTCTCTGCTTTTTACAGATGATGTGGTCCTATTGGCTTCATCAGAACGTGATCTTCAGCTTTCGCTGAAGTGGTTTACAGCCGAGTGTGAAGCAGCTGGGATGAGAATCAGCTCCTCTAAATCTGAGACCATGGTCAGGGATGAGGTCCTGTCTCAAGTGGAGGAGTTTAAGTATCTCGGGGTACACGAGTGAAGGAAAGTTGGAGCGTGAGATCAATAGGCAGATTGGTGCTGCATCTGCCGTGATGCGGGCGTTGTACCGGTCTGTCATGGTGAAGAGAGAGCTGAGTCAGAAGGCAAAGCTCTCGATTTACCGGTCGATCTACGTTCCTACCCTCACCTATGGTCATGAGCTTTGGGTAGTGACCGAAAGAACGAGATTGCGGATACAAGCGGCAGAAATTAGTTTTCTCCGCAGAGTGGTTGGGCTCTCCCTTAAGCTGGGTGTACACTGTGCGACTTTTTCACTCGTAGCACTCAGCTTCAGCTCAAACTGTATGACTTCCTCGCAGAGCAGATCTCACGAGTCATGTGCTCACACTGCACAACCCAGTTCTCGGATGCGACCTGACTGCTCACACTGTACGTCTGGTAGCAACACGTCGGCCCTAAAAATATGCTAAAAATAGCAGTTTGTACTCAACACGTCAGACTTTTTTGTCTTGTCTTGCCTGTTGTCCTTCGGGAGTGCTGCAGGACACACAGGGATTTATGGGGTTGGATGAGGAAAACGAAATAAAGAAAGTAAATCTGTGTTTTGTGATCAGTTTAATTTGACATGAACACGACAAACACGCTTTCTTGACAATCTTTGTGACTAAAAAACGTGTAGAAACAAAAACGAACAGCATGTGTTATTAGGGAAATAGCGAGCAGCGTTGATGCAGGATTGCGCATGCGCCGTGAGCGGTTCTGATACTTTTTGGGTCGCAGCTGCTCGCAGCGCCGCTTCAACAGTGCGATACCCTCACGAGGGGCGAGCGAAATTTTAAACACGCCAGAAGTCTGTGCGAGCTCACGACTGCTGATCGGCAGCTGGTCACGTGGTGTTAATCGCCTCTCGTAACCCCCTGTACACTACACGACTGCTCGGCGCAAAACTCGCCCCGATGTTGTGGATTCTGGCACGACTGGAAAATCGGCTCAAAAAAGTGAAAAAGTCGCACAGTGTACGCTCGGCTTTAGAGATAGGGTGAGAAGCTCGGTCTTCTGGGAGGGACTCGGAGTAGATTCGCTGCTGCTCCACATTGAGAGGAGCCAGTTGAGGTGGCTCGGGCATCTGGTCAGGATGCCTCCTGGTAAGGTTTTCCCAGCACGTCCAACCGGGGGGAGGCCTACAGGTAGACCCAGGACACGGTGGAGGGACTGTCTCTCATCTGGGCAGGGAACGCCTTGGGATTTCCCCGGAGGAGTTGGCCCAAGTGGCTGGGAAGAGGGAAGTCTGGGCCTCTCGACTTAGGCTACTGCCCCCGCGACCTGACTCCAGATAAGCGGATGAAAATGGATGGATGGATGGATGAATGGATGGATGGACAAGGATATTAAATATAGATATGCAATTCAACTTAGAAGAAAAATAAGTTTGATGAAATAAATGGGCCAATCAAATGCAGCTGTGGCATTGAAGCCGAGTTAAGTGTATATGACGTCACAAGTTAATGTACACCTCATTTTGACCTCCTTCATTTCCGTTCCCAACCATTCTGAAAAGCGTAAACCCATCACTTGTTTTATGGGTTATTATTCATAGATAAGAGGACTAACACTACATTAACACCTACACTGAATTATATTCTAACAAAAAAGCTCAAAAAAGCTTCAGCTCAATTTTAATAGTCGTTACCTTGAAGTTCATGGCCCTGTCCTTGAATGTGACGTGCAACACCAGGTCACACAACAAGTCGAGCCGTCGAAACTCGTCCATGACCAACAGGGACCTGGAAGCGTGGTTCTCCACAGTGTAGTCGAGGTACCCGGACCCACGCATGGAGGGAACGACGATAGCAGAGAAGTCAGAGTCACTCGTGGGGCGCATCTTCCTCTGTCTGCAATGCATGTTTTTTTTTTTTTTTTTGGGGGGGGGGGGGGGGGGGGGGGGGGGGCAAAAGATCCTTTAACAAATCAAGGTGCTTGCTCTTATCTCCCTGTGAGCAGATAATCTGTCACAGAATTGTAAAGCGAGGACTTATCTTTTTCTCTTCATGTTTCAAATATGAGAGATCTATTCAGTCAGTTGATGAGGGGCATCAACAAAGCATCCCATTAGGGACCACTAAAGGCCGAGCGAGCAGCTCAAAGGAAGAAAAAATACTCAAGTTGAGGTTAAAATGTTGAAAAAAGGTCCCGCATCTTTGTCCAGACAATAAAGCTCCAACATCAGATGGATCTCACAACAAACCATCCGGTTCTGGTTCCAGATCTGAATCCACCACGGTGCCTCACGGGTTTGCAGGCTGAGATTATTCTCCAAGAGACAAAAGGAAAGTGCTTTACAGGTGTGTGTTCGAGCAGGGGTTTACTCTTGTTACGATTCTGTAAAGAGAAAAGAGAGATAGACTTAAGAGATATAAAATATAAGCTACAGTAAATAAATCAGATTTGATTCTTTTTTACATGTTAGTCGCAGGTTCTAGTTTCACTTCCTTGCAGCAAAAATAGAACCGCTGCACTCAGTGCATCACCACAGGAAGCACCCAGAGCCTTCACAGTTATCTCCCTAAATCTCTACAAACAACTGTTGAGATGGTTAGTGTTAAATAACAATGACACATTAGAGGACTTTTTTTAACCAAAAACTTGGTTTATTTTATTCAAAGCCTCAGGAGACAAATGTTAAAGTTATAATTGCTATTTTAAACCGGGTGTAATGAATTTTGTTTTTAGTACAGAAATTTTTTTTTGTTTGAAACAATAATCTGTGAATTCCTTTGAACAAATGACTCCACTTCGTCTCTTTCTCTATAGAAAAGTGACCGCTGTCATTTCACATCCTGAAATTAAACCTTAAATTCAACTTTAAATGAGTCAAATGATGCTAAAACACCACTTTAAAGCTCTTTTGTGCATTTTATTTATTTTTATTTCAGATTGAAGGGCTTCACTAGTTTGCCACCATTTACCATCATAAAATCTGCATTATTTATTTGATTCTTTGTAAATTTGGTGTTCTCTTCATTTTTTGCAACAAAAAAAAACTACTGAATTATTTGCAATTGTGCAACTGCAAAAGAAATGGCATTCTGCAGGCTTGCAGACACAGTTGCATGGAAGTGCTTCAGCATTCCAGGGTTTTCCCCTTTCAGGAATTATTTATGCTTAATCAGTTACATTGATTGTCTTCCACTGTACTTTGATATATTACAGGCAAGATGTAAAGTTTTAAAGTTTTAGCTAATGTATTTTGACTCAAGCACCACTCAGCATTAGCGTCTAGTATTAAACATTAGACTAAGCATTGGGTCAGCAGTAGCTCAACAGGTTGAGTGGGCTGTCCAGTAATCGGAAGGTTGCAGGTTTGATCCCGGCTACAGACAGAGAATTCTGCTGTTGTGTCCTTGGGCAAGACACTTTACCCACCTTGCCTGCTGGTGGTGGTCAGAGGGACTGGTGGCGCCAGTGCTCGGCAGCCTCGCCTCTGTCAGTGTGCCCCAGGGCAGCTGTGTGTGTGAATGGATGAATGATACACTGTAGTGTAAAGCGCTTTGGAGTCCTTACTCTGAGAGGCGCTATACAAGTGCGGGTCATCATCTGCTTACATACAGATGTGAATCACAGACTGATGCAGAGTTGGTGACATTTTAGCATAAAATGAGAATAATAATTGTAAAACCATGTGTTTAGCTCTGTTGGTCGGCTAGAGGTGGGCGATCATGAACGAACATAATCGTAATCGCAGAAGCTGAGAAGGGCTAAAGGTGCAATATGTCTTCTACCTTTAGATGGTGTCCCCTGACAAGAAACTAGATTCATGCTTTAATTTAGCTTCTAATTTGACTGAGTTCACATTTTTGATTATGAGAAGCAAAGGATCATCGTTGAGCACAAGATATATTTAAAATACCATGAATGCACTCTCAGTTGAATTAACCGTAGGCTGCTCACAGACTTCATCAGGAGACAGAGCAAAGTTTGGGACGAAGTTGTGAAGGCTAATCCAAACTAGATTAATCGGGACAAACTCGAACCTCTTTTAGAAATAAGTGTCTGATATTATTATTCAATTTCCCCTGACTTGAAGATTATTGAATGTTTAGGAAAACATTGAGTTTAAAATTTATAAAAATGCAAAGTTTTTGGATAAGTTTGGTTTTTCTTTAGAAAAGAAGGTTTTAAATCCGTTTCAGAACATCTATGATTTCTGCCGGAAGATAAAGAAAGACACTTTTACGTAAAATCTTGGAATAAACATGGAAGAAAACCACTCAAAACGTAAGATTTTTTTTGCATGTTTCAATGCAGACATCTAAAGGTGGCTCAAAGAGAAAAAAATGCAGCTTTGGAGAATTGCACACCCGAGTCTGCTGTGCTTCTGGCTTTTTCCCATCTCACCCTGAGGCTAGTCAGCCAGATCATATGACCAAAAGCTGTCAGGAGAACAGAAATGGAGGAAAACAACTCAGCAGAGGCGAGCAGAACAAATGCAGGAAGAAAATGAGATCAAATAAGAGAAAGACAGTGATTAATTCAGCAAAAATACAGAGTTTGATGATGATACACAGACATCAGTTAAGATCAGTTTAACAAATTTTGCATAAAAGCAAACAAAGAAGACTGCTTGTTCCTAAAAATAGATGCACACTCTTACATTTGAGTTTTCAGAACAGCAGCAAATCTAAATCAAAGTGTTTCAACTGAAAACAGAGACTCCTTGTAACTTTTTAACTTTGTTGTTGTTTATTTTTCGCCCTGATCTGCTTTGTCGAATTTACATAATAAAATGTATCCGACAGGCAGAAGGAGAGTTAACCATTTACAGATCCGTTCTGCATAAAGGACTAAATCTGCTGACCGCTATGCTCACAACGCGGCACACACACCAGCGTTGTTAGCATAAATCCCGCTGAACGACCATGACTAAACGTCTTTTGGACTGTTTCAAGCCGAGACGTTATCTGACAAATCATTTCTGATTCCGTCTGTCATACGGACAAAAGAACAACAGAAAAGTCAAATAACACCACAGACTGAAGAAGTGTTGCAGCCCTGGAGCTTTTTTTTTTTTTAAACTTTTTCTGAAATAAAAAATGCAAATGTTGCCAGTTGTGCTGGCCACGCCTGACTGAACACTGCAGTGCTACTAGAATCAGTTCTGACTTAAATACATCAATGATGTTTTATAGGTGTGTGTGTGTGCCGGGGGTGGGTGGGGGGGGGGGGGGGGGGTGTAACTGCAATAGGTAGATTAAACAACGAGAAACAAAATTACATGTATTTGTTAATTTAAGGCTTAATTCATCATTGATTTTAAATATTTCATTCGACTTAGTTTATTCATGGATGAATTTAACAACAATAATAATAATAATAAAAAAGAATCCTGCAACACTTTGGGGAAAAGACAAGTTCTATAGAGGATTCATGGTAGAAATAACATTTTATCGGTGGTTTTAATCGATTCAAAACAACCATATTGGCCAAACATAAGAGGGGCATCAGCTGCGTTACAAACAACGTGCAAACAGGTTGAACAGGAGATGATCATCAGAACAATAACACAGAGCTGCATTGTGTTTGTTTTATACTGAAACCTGAAATATTAAAAGTCCAAACTATGCACCTCCCCCCTTAATTAAACTATTAATGAATCCCAAACACATTAGATATTTTATCATACAAATGTGTGGATCGATTCCTTCCATCGGCTATTGTTTCAATGCTATATTTTAAATAAACATTTATTTCTTAATGTTTTAATTGTTTCATTATAACTGGCAGAATTAACGAGGATGTTTCCAGTATGGCTTTTGAATTACCGTAAACAAACAATAACAATCAAATCATTTTTAATAATAATACATTCAGAAGAAAGCATGTTTTTTTTTTTAATTTAACAACAGTATAAATGTTTACGATTATAAAAAGCGCAGCTTAAACACTCTGCAAAACTGTAAGTGCAGAAGAGGAACCGCTGTAACTGGTTTCACTCACCTGCTAGAACCTGCTGTCAGGACTTCCTTCACAACAACAGGACCCAGCGGGACCCGGTTCGATTTCCGGACGGCAGAACGTGAGCTCCTCGAGTCGCAAGTGGAAGCTTTTTGTGGAAAAACCGAGTAACCGAGCTCCTCTCTATTCGTGGAAAACGTGTCGAGTAGAGATCAACGAGTAGCTAGTTGTGTTTCTGGGCGGAGAGGAGGAGGAGGAGAAGGAGGAGAAAGAAGGGGATTTCTACACCAACATGACTCAGCAACCTTGAGTTGAAAACACTCAGCTGAGTAGCGCGCATGTGCCTTCGAGACATATTTCAGGGCAAAATTCACATCGCCGTGAATTACGTACATGCGCTTTCTGTTTGCGGAAGCTCACTAGTGCCTCTCTGATGAAAAAAGTGCATTTCATAATTATTGGCCATTTTCCATCGGAGCTGAGCGACCTATCGTTTTCTGATCGACATTTAAATTTCAAGCAAAGTCAAAGCTGACCTGAGTTTTTTGCAGTGCTCTTGTCTTGACTGACCCAGGATCTGTTCTGTTAATATAATTTAACACTTCCAGGCTTTCACCAGGTTTCAAAGCTTTTTTAACCATTTAAATGGTAAAAATGGTAAATGGCGTATTTGATATTGCGCCTTCTACAGTCACCGACACTGACAGAGGTGAGTCTGCCGAACCAGCAGGCAAGGTGGGTTAAGCGTCTTGCCTAAGACACAACAACAGCGATAGACTGAACGGGAACCTGCAACCTTCTGATTAGAGGGTGACAGGGGCGGTTCTAGACCAAATTTTCCAGGGGGGCCACAGTGGGGCCAGTATTTTTTCATGGGGGCGCAAGACAAAAAGGGGAAAAATTAGGGCAATATCAAAATTATTTTTTGTCTCCGCCATATGACTAATTTTGTGTTTGTGCACA